GTTGACTCTGAGGTTTTATTTTTTCTTAAAGAGAGATAGAGAGCTTGAGTATTTTTTTTCATGATTCATTTCTTGCCTCATTAGAGCTGCGGCATCCAGCATTGTGCTTGCCTAAATGAGGAATTTTTATATTGACTTAGGGTGAATCAAAAAAAGAATGTTTGTGGGTACTACCAAACACACGCTTCCGTTTTTCATCATTATTGCACGCCATCCTCGGACTGCCTTCCAATTCTAAAATATCCCCTAATTTTGAGACGTTGATAGTTTTGGCCATCGGCTTCTAATAAGACGAGCCAATCCAGCCTCCATAGTTTGAAGGATCTTTTTCAAACCAACACTGATCAAACTCGCATGTTCTATTGCTATGGCCAAATCTACTACAACTATAAGAAATATTTCATATTTGATCGACACCTATGAACTTGATCTATCAGGTCTTGCCACCTACAAGCCATCTATAAGGGGACGATTAAGTGAGATGGAAACTTTGATTTGTAAAAAACAATGATTAATACTACCTTAGCTCCTAGGTTCTTCATAAGCTGAAACCCTACCTATTTTGTTATCGAGCAGGAGAATATTCTTGTGAACCATGCCAGCTATAAGGATTCCATGTATTTGGATCTAAAATAGACAACCATCAAACTGGGTTTCTTTCACAATCATAAAGGGTTGTAGTTCACGCAAGCAGAGGATAAAGCCTTAAATAATCCATAGTTGATCCCTAAGGATCCTTAAGAGTTCCTTCTTCCTTTCGAAGTTAAACAAGAAAAGGTTATCACCAGCATCTTTAATAGAGAACTTACCTCATATAGACCAAGCTTTATTGATTAAGTTCTTGATGGTTGCTTTGTTTTGGGGTTTTTGAGCAATAAGCTTACCTATTAAGGATTGGACTTCTTCATTCATTTCCCAGCAAAGGATGATTGCATTGTTTGCCAAATTTTCGCTAGAAATCGAGTTCCCAAGACCTTTCAAGTTGCTGTTATCCATATTGATCATAGAGAGAGTTAAAAAGAAATGCTCATCAAGGAAGAAGAGGAGAGGAAGGATGGAAAAGTAAGAGAATAGAGCAAAAGGGAACACTGCTCTCAAAGAGATGAAAGAGGGCACTCTCGTAAAAAGAGAAAATAGCTCTCACGATAGGAGAGGAAAGCTCTCACAGAGGAAAGAGCAATGTAGTAAAGTTAACTATCTTTATCTACAGTATTTAGTTAGTTAAACATAAGAGATTGTTAAATAATGAGGCTCAACTCAATATATCAACACATTCAAAGTCAGATCTTATTGATGAATCCTCTCTCGACAGTCAATCAGGCCTACTCACTGGTTTGTCAAGAAGAAATGCAGTTCCTCCTCATAGGCTGAGTACTAAAGGCTTTGCCACGATTGCTAGAGGGTGTGGTAGGTTTAATAAAGGACGAGGATGAGCAAGTTTATCTAAAGAGTATACATACTATCATAACCTAGGCCATAAAAAAAGATAATTGCTATCATCTGGTAGGATTCCCATCAAGCTTTGGCAAAGGGAGAGGCACTCAAGATCAATAAATCAACCACACGCCCTCCTACTAATTCAACTCCAATTTAGTTATAAGAATGTCAGCTCCTTTCTTAACAAGACTATGACATTATCCTCAAAATATTGGGCAAGGATACCAAATCCATCCCTAGTGGTGTTGTAAATACAAATGACTCGAAAGAGTCATTAGGTTCAATTTACAACATTTTATCCAGTACAAATTCAATTGCACCTATTTCAAACATGCATAAAGCACACTGGTTATTGGATTAAAGGGCTACTGCACTTGTTGTTAGTTCATTAAATTTTTTTGTTATAAATACACTGAGTATATTAAAACCTTTATAAAGATACATATCATAAATGGAGAAATACTAGTTGTCACACATAAAGGATCCATCACATTGTATGATAATATAGTCCTGTAAAATGTACTTTATGTGCCTAAAATTTATTATGATTTAGTTTTCATCTCATGTCTCACCTCATAATACAATTGTATTGTTGCTTTCTTTTTTGATATGTGTGTTATATAGGATCTTTACAATGGAGCATTAGGACAACTAGTAAAATAGATTATGCACGTCACATTATTGAAGAGACTGACATTCCTATTTGTAATTCTTCTATATCTATTAATAAACTTAGACACCTTAGGTTAGGCCATGCTTCGTTTCATGTTCTATGTTTCAAGCTAATATTCCAATTAAGTTCTAGAGGGAAAGTATTAGAGCTACCATTTATCTAATCAATAAGGCACCTTCTATGGTTATCAACTACAAGACTCCATATGATATGATGTATGAAAGACAACCTAACTTGAGTCATTTATGGATTTTTGGATGTTTAGCTTATATGAAAAAAATGAAATAGAATAGACAAATTTCACCCTAGGTTTGAATCTTCTATCTTCTTAATATATCCTAATAGTTAAAAAGGGTACCTCTTTTATAATGTTGTGGAAGTTAGAATATTAATCAGTAGAGAAGTTATTTTTCTTGAAAATAAATTCCCTTATAAGGATGAGGCCTTAATGAATTCGAATCAAAAAGGAGATTCTCTAGATAAAACTCCACATCCTTTCCTATTTAATACTCTATTTGATAATTATCAAGTTATTGACTTTGCTCCTATTCATTCTGATATTACTTTAGATAATTCTTCTTCTGATTTTGTTACTAACCATAATGCACAGAATCAGCTTGATCTTAGTTCACATAATTTTAGTTTACAAATTGATAGTTTCAATGATTATGTGATTCCTAATGATTTTGATTTACATTCTCACACTGAACCACCATTATCATGTCCTATTACGTATAAAAAAACCCCCAGTTTGGCTTAAAGATTATGATTGCATTAAACTAGCTCATTTAAATAGTGTTGAATCTAAAACCAAAAAGAAAATTGTGTACCTTATTCAACATAGTGTTTGCTACACTAATATATCATCTTCTTATAAGGATTTTTTAATGTGCGCTGATGAGATCATAGAATCAAATACTTCTGAAGAGGTAGTCACAGATAGTAGGTGGCTAGAGGCACTGAAAAATGAAATAAATGCCTTAGAGAGAAATAAAACTCGGGAGATAGTTGACCTTCCTACTGGTAAGAAAGTTATATGGTATTGATGGATTTTTAAGAAGAAGTATAATGCTAATGGCACCTTAAACAGATTAAAACCTAGGTTAGTTACAAAAGGATATAGTCAAGTTAAAGGAGTGGATTACTTTGACTCCTGTAGTGAAGATGACCACTATTAGGATTGTGTTTGTCTTTAACTGTTAAAAATAAATATAGTATGTGTCAAATAGATGTGGATAATGCATTTTTACAAGGGGACTTAACTGAAAAAGGTTTTATGAAAATTCCCTCAAGGTTTTGCTAAAAATAGAGAGAAAAAAATGTGTAAACTTATAAAATCTTTATATGGACTAAAACAAGTATCAAGGCAGTAGAACTTAAAATTATCTAAACCTTTAGTTGCTGGAGGTCTTACATAGAGCAAACATGACGACCCCATATTTTATAAACAAAAGGATAATGATTTAGTTTTAATATGGCCTATGTAGATGATTTACTTATTATTGGAAATTTTGATTCCTTTATTCAAGAAACAAAAGATTATCTTCATAGTAACTTCAAAATGAAAGATCTAGGTTCTTTGAAATATTTCCTAGGACTAGAAATAGTTAAATAAAAAAAAGGAGTTATCTTAAACCAAAGGAAGCATGATTTAGATATGATTGCTAGTACTGGGTTGAGTGCTGCTAAGCCAAGGAATATTCCTATGGCTCAATGTTTAAAGTTGTACAATGAACCTAGAAAGCGGGAGAAAGATCCTCTTCTGCTTGATGCAACTAGATATAGATGATTGATTGGTGAAATGTTGTATTTGACTATGATTCGTCCAGATTTGAGTTTCATTATGCAGATGTTGAGTCAATATATGAGTAGTCCTAGAAAATCGCATATAAAGGCAACTATGAATGCAGTTAAACATTTGAAGAAAGATCCTAGTCAAGGCACTTTCTTTCCTTTTGGTGGAGGGGTGATGCTTGAAGGATATTCAAGTTCTGACTAGGGAGCATGTGTAAACACTTAAAGGTTTGTCACAAGGTATATCATTAAGATGGGAGGAGCGCACATTGTATGTGAGTCAAAGAAGCAAACAACAGTTTCATGTTCTTCAATAGAAGTTGAACACAGGGCATTAAGAAGTACCATTTTAGAGATTACGTAGTTGGTTGGTTTATTGAAAGACTTGAAGGTTGGGAATCCTCTTCCTATTCTAATACATTGTGATAGCAAAGTAGCAATTAAAATTGCTTTGAATTTGGTATTTCATGAATGGACGAAGCATATTGAAATTGATTGCTATTTTGTTTATGAGAAGCTTAATAAAGGGTTGATTAAATTACACCATGTGTCTTCTTCAAATCAACAAGCAAATATTTTTACTAAAGCCTTAGGTAAATTGGGTATGAGAGAATGTTAACAAAGTTAGGAACCATAAATATTTTTGGTTCTATCTTGAGGGGGAGTGTAGAAAATAATCCCTCCGATCTTATTTATAAGACATATTTTAGAAGTAATTTTTTATCTAAAATATAGGACACTTTATAATAATTAAACTATTTTTTTCAATTTCACTTTTTTTGATTAAAAAAAGGTATTTAATATAATTGTATTATTAAAGTGCATCTCCTTTTTTATGATACCAAAAAAAAATTAAATTTTTTTAAGATATGTAAAATATTGAAAGTGTCCTATAATAAGAATCGAAAGAAGTATTGATTAATGTTAGTTCTTCAAAATAATATTTCTAGATATTCATTTATTTATTAGATAATTGGGTCTAGGCAACAAATACCTTGTGTTACTATAAAGTGTGTTATTAACCCAAGGGGGTTAATAAAGAGTGTTATTTAGTAAAGCTTTTTTTTATAGTTTGTAATTCATTTTGAGTTTTGAAAGCGGTTTATCCATCTGTAAGCAACATCCTGAAATGCAAAGCGCATGACTTCGATGGAAGCGGGAAGTCTGCTCAGGTGTCCATTCCTTACTCGCAATCTCTGTCCATCCACCCCAAATTCTTCCTCACCGTTCCCTTCTCTTCCTCCTACTTTCTCGCTCCGCTTCCGGGTTTCATCTTCCACTTCTTCTTCCTCCAATTCTCCAATCGCCAATTCCAAACATAATTACAGAGTTCCCAAGCCCAAACGAGACTGGGTCGCCGATTGGGTCTCCCAGAACGACGATACCGTTCGTACCTTGCCCATCTACGTTGGCGGCGCCTCCCTCTTGGTCGTTTTCTTTAATCGTGCCCTTTATGGCATCGCTCCTGTTGCTGATGCTAGCAGGTTCCCAATTTTATTTTGAAGTTGGGGTTTTGTAGTTTACGTTGTCATTTAACAGTTGCCGCAATCAATGTTGGTATGTTAAATTTGTATTGTTTGAATTAGTTTACTAGGAGTGCCAGTGTGCCATCACGAGTGCTTCCTACTAGAATAAAGCGAAATTTAGCGTTGAATAATTCGGATTAACGGTAACAAAATTTTCATTAACATAGTGTAAAGCCTAGTTTCTAATTTCTACGAGCAAATCCATTTTTCTTCCTTTTGCTTTCTTTATCATACATTGAAAATACATATCAAATTATCTCCTTCATTTGGTCACTTTACATTCATCTACCTGCAGTATATTGCAGCTCCGTATTTACACCACATTGTTAAAATATCATTAACCTAACCAAACCACCATTTACATCCTAATTATATGCTTGGAATCTAAAATTCAGCATGGTAGCCAATTAATCTTCGAGGAGTAAGATTGAAGAACTGTACTTAGTTAAGTGAATTCCTAATGTTGTAAGTGTAATGTGACTTGCAATGATAGGTAATACCATAAAAGCCACTAACCTTTCATTGCGTGATATATGAGTTATGGGGTATTCTATTATCGAATGTTGAAAGGCTTTACTACCTTGGTGGAAGTATGCTAACAGATCATGTATATTTAGACATCTTTGAGTTACTTGTTCTAATTGGCACTTAAGCAATCAATACTCTGCAGTTCGCAATCTAGAGCGGATCTCTTGACTGTAGCATTGGCTGTCACCAATATCTTAACTGGTCTGGTGTGGCTGTCTATAAGACCCAAATCTATAACTACGGTGAGCTCTTTGCATCTAGATTTTAAGTGCTTCATCCCCCTCTTGTTGACTTAATTAATATGTATCTTAATTTTGCATTCAAAACTTTACTTCCTGTTATGCTTATATAGGTAAATCCGCAAGGAGTTGAATGTAAGAGGGTGTGTACTCGTCTCCCTGATTATGCAGTTAGTGAGTTGCTCTGGTAATGTACATTATTTACACTTGTCAACTTCATTTGCATTGATACTTCTTCCTGTCGACCCAAGTGCATTCTGCTTCTGTGGAGGAGTTCAATCCAACATTGTTGATTTGACAATATGGCCTTCATATCCCTTTTTATTGAACTGCTAATTTGAAAATGGAAAATGAATGAATAAAAAAACTGTATTTTATATATTGATGTGTGATGATGTTACATGTGATGTCATTAGAAATTATAGTAAGGTCTTCTACATGTGATGTTAATGACTTTAAAAATAACACAAAATGTAATCTTGATTTATGCGCCAGAGGAAAAATTCATGTGCAAGCAAGGATTGTATTGCTTAAGTGCTTCCTCTACTGATGGTTTATATTCTCAGGGTGTGGGAATCTCTGTCAGGTGTCACACGCTGCAGGTCACTTGTTATCGTTTATGAGAACATTTGTGTGCTTCAAATTGGTTGCGCAGCAGAAGCTTCTTCAAGGAATGGGGAGGCCGTTAATGTAGATGCCAATAAATTGATGCAAGGAACTCTATATCAGGGTGTTATAAAATCTGGAGCTCGTATGTTTGTGACAATGAACCATCATTAACTGTATATTACATATCATAGTTGACTGTTAACTAAGTTAATTATTATTCAGGGAGATGCGTGTTAAAGTGAATCATAACCAAGTCTTATCTAAATGTGCAGAGAGTTACTTGGCCAACCTATCTCTTTATCCTGGGAAATCTGAGCTGCCATTTTTGCCTTCAAACACTCAGGTATCGTGTTATATCTTAAAGTGTGCCATTTCACTGCCTTTCCTCTCAACCTGACAGATTTCCATGCAAGTCCTTTTAAATTGTGTTCTATCTCAGTTAATGAGTCAACATATTTCTTAAGCATTGACATTTTAAAAGAGTAAAAGATTCAGGAATCAGTTTATATAATCACTTGTCTCTCAACAGGCTGACAATATTTATGGGGGTTGACCATTTTAATTGAATTAAGCTAAAATGGCGATTTGGAGCAAACATACATCTTGTAACTTCAATGACTGCAGCTCTACTTTGGCATCAGAATGTTCTTTGGTTGTCAAAATTCCTTTTTTTAAAGAATAATTATCGATGTCACATTTGTCATTGGTATGTATTGCCTTTAAACGGAGGATACAAAGAAAGGAAAAAGCTCGAATAAGCAGTTTACATAGGCAAATGTGTTTGTCGTCGGCCTTGGTTTAAAGACATTTTGAAGAAACTAACTTGACCCTAGATTTCCTTGTGTTTTGAAGTGACCACGAGGTATTTGCTGGGGCTCCCTAACAGTAAAAGATTGGTGTATAAATAATGGCACTAGACCAACTAGTCACGCCACAAAATTGGTAAACCGGTTACTAAACTTTTCCGGCCAAGGGTGAACCACGTCAAAATACAATCAGTGGAACCAATTATGAACTGGTCAAAACCAATAAACCCAGTAGTTTCGTGGTTCAAACCAGTTGTGTGTGTGTGTTTTTAATCTTTGCATTTTTTAATTTAAATAATATTTTTAAGTTATCGGTTATATATAGTTATACCTTATGAGCATTGGAAAAATAATACCAGTGGGCAAATTTGCAAGAAATATGTATATATTATAAAATAAATTTAAAAATAAGTATATACATTATAAACATTTTACATCTCATAATTATTTATATGAACTTTTTTTCCATTTTTACCGACAGAGTTATCATGTTTCTAGGCAGTAATTTTGCAACCACTTGGAGATAAAGGAATTGCAATTATTGGTGGTGACACAATACGAGGTTTCACTACTTCTGACCAGGTATGGTTGCTTAGCATTTTTGTCCTCATTCCGAGGATATATAGATTTGTCAAAATTGCTCCAATCTTTGTATGCAAGTGCGGCATGTTATGCTGTAGAATTTAACATCTTAATAGTTGAAATCCAAAATATTTGGGATTATAGAATTATGGTACTTGAAGTTGTCAAGTTTCAAATTATCCGTCTTCAAGACATACTAATGCTATCAGCATAAGTGTAGGCTTGGCACCGAATATATGCCTATAACATATTCCAGTGATCAAACTCAGTTACTTGCATGATTAGTGACATAAAATGATTACAGGCTTGGATTACTCTTATTGGAGAAAAGCTGGATTCTACCCTTGCAAAACATGTAAGGCAGCTCCAACTTACAAGATTGAATAATTGAGAGGTACTGAATTTTTTTTTTTTTTTGGTGGGTGGGAGCATGCAATGCATATTTCGATATTTTGTTTATGTAGTTGATTGATTTTAGCATCCGCATACTTACCAACAACACACGCAGAGACATACAGCAGGTGGTTTTACCATGATTTGTAATCATTCATAGTATTTATATGTAGTAATGTCCAAGGATATGGTTTCCTAGAGACGTTTGTAACTAATATCTACTGCATACGGGGAATTTAGAAATTTATCATGCTCTATCAGTTGTCCCCTTGCAAGATGCAATAATATGAAGAAAGTAGAAATTGAGTATTGTAGTTCGTTAAAATAGTATATTTACATTTAATATACCTTCAACTAGAGTACCACTTCCGATGATGAACATCAGCATTCCAGGTTCCAAAATTAGTACAATAGAGGGAAAAATTTAAGATTAAGGGTCATTCTTGTCTCTGAAGTGTGTGCAAAAGTTCACAGATGATCCTAAACTCAATTTGAGATTAATTTTATCCCTTAATTTTAAAAATTTGATCTTCCGTGCCCCTGACATTATCTTTTGTTAAGTGAGTCTCGCATTTAAATTTTTTAATATTTTTTATTATAAAATATTTAAGCGGGCCTTGCCATTATTTTTTTAAGATTTTTTTGTCCCAATCTCTTCCCTCTCAGTGATCTTCATGCCTTCTGCAACATCCATGGTGGTTCTCTGATTCTCTCCCACTCCTCACTAAATCAGTACTTGCTCATCAACTCATGCCTGTAAACTCATGCAATACCCAATGAACACAAGTTGTTCGTTTTCAGCTTCCCATATTTGAAAAGCTTGACTATGAACTCTGGTGAAGAGTCCTACCTATGAGCAGTTACAGCAAGTGAACTTGATGAGGACTCTACTGTTGACCACATCATTGGTGTAGGCCTTGCACGTGTTGTTGGTGGGCTTGTCGAAGCGTGCCACATTGATGTCGCCATCCACAAAAACCACGAGTTTTTCCTCCAGCCAAGAAACCCCACCTTTGTTATTGTTGTAGCAGAAGCTGCTATTGCTACCTTTTTGAATTCTTCTGGAAGCTCCTCATCACCTTCATTATCATCTCAACCTTTCTATCCTCATCTTTTGGCCCATCGTCCAACAATATGCCTTCAAGTTTTACGCCTCTAACACCAAGCTTGCCTAATTAAACTACTCTAACTACATAAAGCTCATCCAAGTTTTACATCTTCAAGTTTTAAGTGATATCAGGCGAGCTCGTCAAAAAGGGGTGGCGTGGTCAGGGAGGTGTCATTGGTAGGGATGAGCAAAATCAAAAATCAAATCGAATCGAATCGAATTTTGTTTATTTGATTTGGTCTATTTAATTTTTTGGTTCGATTCAATTTTTTTATTTTAAATATTTCGATTGATTGGTTCAATTCGGTTAGTAAAATTTAAAATTAAATAGACCGAATCGATTAAATTATATATAATTTATAAGTTATATTTAATTTATAAATTATTTTATTTTATTTTTATTTTTTATTTTAATAAAGAATAAAAAATAATAACATCACTTAAAATCCTATTTCAGTCAATCACTCTCAACCCTATTTTTTATAAATTATTTATTTGATTATCCACACTTTTATAATATTTGGATTTTATGTCATATGAGTGTAATTAAAATAGGCTCATATTTAAAAAACAAATAGAAAAAAAGGTCTAATTTTATAGTGTTGTTTGTTTTAATATTTAAAATGGGCCCAATTTTAATAGTCCAATATAAAATCAAAAATATAATTAACCGATCGAATTGAATTATTCCTTATTCAGTTTGATTGATTTGTTCGGTTCGATTCGGTTTTTATTTTTAATATTATTTGATCGATTGGCTTTGCATATTTTGAAATCGAATTGAATCGATGCTCACTCCTAGTCATTGGATTCCTCTGCTTAACTTTTGGCTTCCTCTTGCTCCTGGCAATGGCATACTTAAATCGAAGCTCCTTGTGGAAAAGAGCGCTCACCCTTGATGGGAGAAGGGAGAGCATGAAATCAGGGCTCTTATGCTTCAATTTTGTTGGAGCCAGTAGGAGGTTCTAAGGCCTTCATGTTGCTTAGCTTGGTCTGGTTCAATGGCGTTGATTCTTAAATCAAAGATAGAGAGGAAGATGAAGAAGAGAGAGGAAGAGAGGAGAGAGGGAGAGTACGAAGAGAGGAAGGGGGAGAGAGAGTAATATTTTTTTATATTATAAAAAATATTAGTAATGAATTGTAAGACCTCCTATCAGATATTTTATAATATAAAATATTTAAAAATTCAATTTGGGACCCACTTAAGAAAAAAAAACGTTAAGGGCACAAAAGATAAAGGATTTATTTGGTAACTTATTATGAGAACAGTTTTTATTTTTGAGAATAAAAAAATAAAAAATTTATTTAATAACATGTTTTCAAAAAGTGTTTTTAAAAATAAAAAATAAAATATTATTTTGGGCTTATTGTTCTGTAGAACAAAGAAGAATAAGAAAAGCATATATTTTTATTATTTTTTTTTCTCAAAACATGTTTTACAAAACATCAATTTTTAGATTAATAAAATGAAAATAGTTTTAAACAAGTTCCAAATTTTTAAAGTTAAAGAATAAAATTGATTTTAAGTTAAATTTAAAATCATTTGTGTACTTTTGTGTACACTTTAGGAATAAAAATACCCTTAACCTAAAAATTTACCCTCCTGATAGAGTTCCAAAGTAATAGGTGATCTGAGAAGATAGATATTATAAATAAATAGTATTTTTATTTTATTTTAGATATTTTATATTTAATAATATTGTTTAAATTTTATTTAGGTATTTAGTTAGCTAGATTTTATATAGATATTTAGATATTGATTTAGATATCTATATATTTATCTAGATATTTAGTTATTTAGATTTTATTCATGTATTTAGTTCTTTAGATTTTATTTAGTATTTTATATAGATATAGATTTTAGAAGACTTTATTTAATTTTATTTAATTATCTAGTTATCTAGATTTTATTTATTATTTTGAATTGTATTTAGCATTATAAATATCCTTAGCAACTTAGAAGCAGACATACCATAAATAAACATACTTTTGAGACTCTTGGCCCTTTGAAGATTCTCCTAACCATGACTACTAAGAAAAGTATAGAACAAATTCTTGTTTTATATCATTTTGATATATTTATTATAAGTTCTATGTTTTCTTATTAATATTATAAAGTTAGATTTTAATTTCATATGTTAATAGAAATTGATTTTCTTTATTTTTGTTTAATCATCTTGGAACCTATCACCTTCCCATAAATGTTTAGCACCTGTTGCTCTCTGTTATTGTTTTTGTTTTTTTTTAACCCTAATCATGCTCCTATTATTCTTTAAAAGATGGTAATCTTGATATAAGTTGTGTACGAGTGTATCTGCCAATACCTTATGTTTTCATTGTTTCCTGGACGTGTCCTTTGTTGCCTTTAGGTCTGTCAAATGATAGAAACCCTCAAGACGTGCAGAAAAGACCTTTGACTTGTTTTTTGCTGCAGAGCTTTGTAATAACCATTTTCGTTCGGTCATTGATAATAATCTTGTTTTAGCCCGCATCAAAATTTCAGGGTTAATGGATGACAAGAAACAAACAAGGATTACTCAGCTGGAGAGGAGTGAAAAAATGAAGAGGGAAAAAGGAATCCATTCATATTGCTGCTAATATACAACTGTGTGAGAACTGTGAAGTATGTTTCATGTTTATAGAAGTCATTAATCAAGTGAAAGAAAGGAAAGAAACAAAATTTCTGTTGCCTAAAATCCGCCCCAAAAACAATGAAAAGAATGAATGCCTGTTGCTATGATTATTGTGCTTTACAAGGGTACCCGACGACCCTGATAGATTAGTGTCCCCTTACTTTATATGAATGACCTTTCCCAAGGTAGAACCCCTGTTGCAGGATCGGCAAAATAAGACAGAAGGAAATCCTTCAAGCCAGTATCCCAAACCTCACAAAATTGCCGCCGCCAGTTTGGTGGTTCAATGGCCTCTGTTCCTAGCCCTGGTGCTCTATCCTTTGATCCCTTGTTTTGGTCTTCTTGCCAGTCAACCACATAGGTAGCAACCCTTCTGAAGAACTTGGCTTTGAAGGTCTCCCACACCTGATATTTGTAGTGGTTTATTATAGCAGTACCTTCAGGCATGTTCTGATACGTGTATCCATTCCTCAGCTGAAAATGGTGCACCACATTCAGAAGACTAGTGTCAAGCAAATCTGGCCTCACTATTGATTTGTGTCTCTCAGGGCTCTGAAGCCTGCATGTGTATCCTATAGTCACTCCTCGTTTAGGCGGTGAGCGCAACCCAGAAGGACCAAAGCTATGACAAGCTGTTCTTATTTCTGCAATATTTGATGATGAGAAATTTGCCACCACTGATTTCAGAGAGTTCCCTCCAGGAATATCATTCCCGAACTGGTGATGAAATTCATTGGGGAAGTAGAAGAACTCATCGACATCAAAGAATCCAACCCACTTGCACTCATCTCTTGCTCTCAAAGCACAGTGAGAAAAGCCTGCTTCCTGAGTCTTAATCCATGGCCAGGTTTGTCTGCTAACATTATACCCTTGACGGTCGAGTTCCTGGCTAACCTTCTCTATATCATCATCACTGTTGTTGTCATAGATGAACCATCGTTCAACTCCAAGCCAGGAATGGTACATAATCCATTCTCTGAGCGCAGATGCTTGGTTCCACACCATAGTGCAAGCACACAGCTCATGCTTCTTTGTCTTTCTTTTTCTCTTCTGAGCTCGAGGACTTGAACTGCGGACTCTTGCCACCGATGGCATGAGCTCGCGAACCGGGTGCCTTATATGGCCGCTCAAGTGGCTGACGGTAACCCGAATTCCCTGAGCCTTTTCTGGGCTGTTTCTGATACTCCGTGGCAGCAAACACCTAACCACTTCCTGAGCAACTGAAACTGCTTTGGTGGTGAGCAAGAAGTTATTTTCTTTGCCCAAATTCTTCAACCCAAAGTGGCAGAGGAATCGGTTTGGCTCCGATATCTTGTGAGGTCGAAGATTTAATCCTTTTACAAATACAACGGTGGTATTACCATCCAAAATCGCTTCATACACCACCTTGTCCCACGACTGAGCAGTCCGGTTAACCAGCGAATCCCAACTCCTACGACCAATCTCCCCGCGCCGGCGCAAATCGACGGCGGCAGCTGAGTAGTTCGTCTGGGGAATTGGGCACCTCACGATGGATCTGAATTCATCGTAGTTGTCCGTGGAAAGCACCGGCTGAGTAAGAACGTCGGCGAGCTGGTTATTAACTTCGCCGGTCGAACCGTTGAAGAAGAGCTTGTAGTATATACACTCCAATTCTGGACTCTGCCGGAGAAATTTGTTGCTCACCATCAAAACCACATGGTCAGGGAAAACAATCCGATCTTCAACTCTCAAGGGGAGCAATCTGGGGTCAGAAAAATCGAGAACCGAACGACTTGCAGAAGAGGACAAAAGCGATAAGGGAGAGGTAATAATGGCGGGGCGAAACGGTGAGGAAGAAATAGAGAAGCGATCGGAGGATAAGAAGAGGAAGACGAAGAAGGAGAAGCAGAGAAGAAGTGACCTCAAGGAGAAGAAGCGGGTCAGCGAGAAAGCACCAGTACTGACACGCTTCTTCTTCCGGCGCTGCCCAGAATCCATTGTTTCTCAGTCCTGTCTGAATCACTGAAAGAGTTAAAAATCCAACCTTTAAGTAGAAGAAGAACCAGAAGAAGGATTCTGGAAGACGCGAAATACAAAGATCTGGGAGATGACAAGGTTGAAGAAGAAGAAGGCGACAAGTTCTGGAGACACAGGGAATGGGTAGGAGAGAGCTGTACGCGTGAGATAATTGAGACCCTCAAAGGCGAAAAGTTGAAGAAAGTGCGGTTGAGTGGAATTAGAGTGAGAGAGAGAGAGAGAGAGAGAGAGGCTTGGAGTGGTGACTGGGAAAGGTCGACAGGGTTGTGTTGCTGGCATCGTATTCGCTGTTGACAGCGCGTGACGCGGTGACAAATGTGTTTCTTTTCTGGGATTATTTTATTGCATAAAATAGTTGGGATGGAATATGGATGGTAAAAAAATTAAAAAGGCATTAAATTAAAGAAGCAAGAGTCTTGGGGAGAGAGAGAGAGAGAGAGAGAGAGAGAGAATCGTAAAAAGGAAAGTTTGGATTTGGTGGCTTGGGTTTGGGGATCGGCCTTAAATGGAATTTTGCCAATTTGCCATCAAACTTCACTTTGCTTGTACCAGAGGAATTCTCTCTGCCAGTGGGCCCCACTCCCATGTAAAACTCCGCGAATGTTCTCTCCTCATCCCTTTTTAGTTTTTCCATGACATTTCCAACCTTGTTACTGAGATAAAAAAGAAATTTAAAATTTATTAATTCTATTTTAAAATAAAATAAATTTTTGACTTTTCACTTCTTTAATCATAATATATATATATGTGTGTGTAGAAAATTTTTTGAATAAATTTGGTGCACCCTATCATTCATGCTTCATTTAATAAAATTGTATATTCAATAAAATAAAATTTTGTATATCATCATTTTTAATTAATTTTTTAAAAGAGGATTTCTTTTTAATTTTTTTATTTTTTTATTTTTATTAACATCGCAATTAGTTTATATTTATAATTATTTAAATGATATGTTTTTATTGGATGGAATATGATTGATGTGGTGTATGGTGGGTTAGAGAATTTTTTCCACATGGTGTCACGTTAAAAAAAAAAAAACATTGAGTAAAAGTATCATGAGAAAAATGTAATAAATATCCTATATTGTGTCTTTCAAAAATCGCTTTTTTGATAGAAATAAAAAAAAAGACGGGTATGACGTTATTTTGTTTTTATTTTACTTTTTTAGATTTTGGATGATTGCTTCTGTAGGCAAGTTAAAATGAAATTGAAGTTGGGGACGATCTTTGACTTTAAGGTCTCGCTGGCTATTTCTGATTGGTAGTAACATATTAAGAATCTTTTAGAATGTGTGTGTTTTTTTTTTTTTATTAATGTGAGCATCAAAATAAATAAATATAATAAAATATAATTGAGAAGCGACCTTACCGAGTGAAGGAGATAACTGGTAGCCGCCTTGACAAAGTCCGTCAAACTTGGTGATTCATGTTGCCCAAAACAGATTAAATAAATGAATAAAATAAAAATGGGCGGTTCAAACTTTGGAGTATAAGTTAGACTTTATTGCATAAGCATTCAGCCGTTCACCCTATTAAACTTTGGAAAGATGACAATTTCATCCCAAAATATTAAATAAATGACAGTTAAGTTTTAAATAATTTTTTAAAAAAAATTAAAGATATTGATTTAAATAATTATAAATTTTAAAATTTTAATTATAAATAAATATTTAAATATCAAATGTAACAAGAATTTTTATTTGTAATGTTTGAATTGATATTTACAATTCTTATTTTAAAAAATTTTGTCAAGAATTTAATTATTATTAATTCAATTTTTTTGGACCTAACTGTCATTTTCTATTGGATTTTTGACGTTATTCATGGAATATTTTTTTTTTTTTTTTGTTTTGGGAATGAACGTCTGGTGCCAAAGTTAAACATTTTATCAAGATTACGTACACCAGTGTCATGTTTTGATTTTGAAAGATCAATTATGAGTTTTTAAAAAACATAATATTACTTTCAAGTTTTAGTTTAAAATGTTTTGCCTTAAGGCAAATAAGATTTAAAAATAAACCTCGCTAGATTTAACATCAGTTAATCTTTTTTATAAAAAAAAAAGTAATATATAGAAAAAAATAACAAGTAAAGACCCTGTTAAGCCAATGATTTTAATTATAGACCTTCTATCATTGAAATTTCATTGAACAATTACTATTGGGTAGGACTTTAGGCTAACTTGAGATTTGGTCTCTTTTGTAGGAGAGATTGAATTAAATAACTCGTAATCTTGTTTGATCTTAAAAAAACTTGAGATCAAGCTGAACCAAACTTATTACATATGATTGAATGACTAGTTCAGATAGTCCAGTCAAGTTATAATATATAATGATAAATTCATAATAGCTTTCAATAAACCTTAACAAGTCTAAATTATATTACAACAAGTTGTACAAAAGATGAAAAAAAAAATACACACACAATGGAGCTTAGATTTAGCTTAACAGTTCCTCTAATTTCTCATTAGATAAAAGAGTTATACTTTGTAATAATCACAATATGCAAGGTTTATTGACCGAAACTATTATATCATTTTAGTAATCGAAATTCTCCTGCTTCCACTATAATTCGCTTTGCAATGCAGTATATTTTATTAAGGGAAAAACAATAACAATAACCAAAAGCAATATGGGGCTTCACCCTTACTCTCTTATGATTAAGTAAGAATTTATCATTTTTACATATGCGAGACTGATAAAACATACAAAACTATAAACACTAATATGCAAGACAATGTTTCAACGAGATGAATGAGTGAACTTCAATTATATTAAAAAAATTTCATAGGATCAAGATAGACCAAATGGTTTGATAGCTCAACCCCATGTCTAGTTCAACTTGAACGAAAAGCTTGATCTAGTTTGGTCTTTTTTTTTTTTTTTCATTGGACTAGCTTTTTTTTAAAATTGAAAAATATCAATTTCTATCAGGTTAGACTAGGTCGGGCTAAAGTATTAAGTTTTTGTACAACCCTATTGGAGGGAGACAACCTAATTCTCAAATGGGATATCTATTTTTTTTTTCACTTAGATTATTTGAAATTCACAATTGATTATATTCAATTTTATTAGTCTCATTCACAACTTGTGAAATTAAATTAAACTTTTCTTTTTAAAATAACTAAATTATTGAAATAGCATAGAATCAGTCAGGTTTAGATAGCCCACTCGAAAATGAAGTAGAATGATAATCGGTAGACATCCCCATTTCCAAGTGGAATTCACAAATCACAATTGATTAGATGTTGATTTCAGTAGTTACATTCACAACTTACAGAATTAATTTGAACTCTTTTTCCCTCCCAAAAACCGAACTAATAAAATCACATAAAATCAGTTGTGAATTTAATGAAATTAAAAAACTGTCAAAATCAACTAACCCACTTAAAAATGAGGTTATCTCCTAGTGATCCTTGAATGAAATTAGAATTAATGGCTTAACAGAGTCATTAATTTTCATTTCCCCCAATATCTATTATTGTTTTAACAGTGATATCCATTATTGTCAAAGATAAAAATATCAAAATCTTTATAAAATATCTTATGGGCAAGTAGATTGGTACATTTATTAGCTTTCCTATATATATTGTCAAAAGCATCTACCCAATCTCTCATAATGAGATCTAATATTCTTGATAATTATGGAGAGGGGATGACTATCGTAGCAGCTATTATCAATAAGCAATAAAGCTTGCATGGAATCTGAAAAGACGTTAATCTTGGATAGTTTCTCGTTCTAACAAAAATTGAGGCCTTTTAAAATTTTCAATAACAGTAATATTTTTCTAAAGATTAGCTTGACCTTCGTAAGTAACATACATACATACATATATGGGTTTAAGGAAACTAAGGTTTGAGAGAAAAATTGGCTTTAGTAAAAACAGTTAAGCAAAATTGGGTCCACAAAACTGGGTATGGGGCTCTAAAATCCAAACATGCCAATCCTCTGATTGGTTTTGAGAGGAATGGAGAAGGAAAATTTTAATAAGTTCAATTATAAAATGATAAATAAATAGAATTATAAAATTTTAATTGAGAGATGTAAGAGAAAGGAAAAGGTAAGACAAATCAATTAAAAATTTTTTAACCCTATTTCTCTATTTTTTAAAAAAATTGAACTTAAATTTTTTCTTCCTTCCTTCCCTCTCCATCCGCTTGAACAAAACAAAGGCTAAATGGTGTTTCAATAATTAATTATTTCTCAATGAATTTTTTTTGAAATTATTTCTCAATGAATATTAATTGCTTATGATATGTAGAATGTCGACATCAATACACTAAAAAAAAAAATTAAGGAAGTTATCACAATGTATCACAAATACATTCTCAACTATCTTACCCCATCCCTAAAAAAAATGTCTCTTTCTTCTCTCGGTAATTTTTTAAAAGGAAAAATTTATATACTTAATTATATATATATATATCCAAAAAGAAGTCACTTAAGTACGGAGTTAGTAATTTGGATCAAGCCTACGGATCATCCCAATAAATCTAAAAATTTTAGGACTGGGCTTAAAAGTTAAAAAAAATTATTTTCAAATTTATTTGAGCCGTCTAAAAAAAATGAAAGAAATTTGAGTCAAGTTTGAACCTAAATAAGTTGAGCCCAAATACCAAAATTCTTTCTTATTGTTGATAAAATGAAATTAATATTTATTTCAGCTTTCACTTAATACTTGCAAACTCTCTCCTAAACTTCCAGTTTTTACATTTCACGCTCTTAAACGAAGTTTTTATGTTTGAATAACTATTTGTTCTAAATATATTTTAAAAATATTAAGAAAAAAAATATAAGAGGTTAGTTCATATCTTTTCATTTTTATTCTTTCAATACTTAATCTCATTTTAATAAGGATCGAAAAAGGGTATGTTGTAGTGTTGCGTTTCCATTTTTTATTTTTAAAAAATATTTTACAATACAGTTATTAAAAATTATTTTAAAATTGTTTTTTAAAACAAAACAAAAACGATTTGTTTGATTGTGTAAATTTAAAAAAATTCAGAATTAAAAAAAATAGTCAATAATGATAGTCACTAGGGCTTAATAATGATAACTTGTAACAGTGATTAATTAAAGCAATTATAGTTTTCAGTAAGTAAAATATTATGTATTTTGAAAAACTCGAAAAGCAAAACAAAACAGTTCTCACATATTTTTATTTTTTATATTTAAAAATAAAAATAAAAATTTTTTACAGACAATTGAATTAAAAACACTTATTTTAAATAATTTTGTATTTTAAACACAAAAAAACTATTTTTGAAAACAAAAACGAAACAAGCCTGTAATTATATATTTATTACTTAAGGATACTTATTGTTAATTAAATCAAGACATATGTATTTATTTTATAACAAATTCTTATTGTTAATATTAACACATTAAAATTT